TATAATAAAGAGGAGCACATGGAGAGAGATGCACAGTATATCAATACATTTGTGTGGCTACTTCCCTTATTGCGTTCTTGATGGTTTTTTCCTGTACGTCTCAATGAAGACCTTTGAGTTTATCTGATGTGAGCCCATATTTGATGTACAGTTGGGCAGCATGAACGTGGGACTACAACTCTGAAGACCAGAGTTCAGTTCCCAGCTCAGCCATATAACCCACTGGGTGACCTTGGACAAGTCACTTACTCTCAGCCTCAGGAGAAGGCATGGCAAACCCCCTCTGAACAAATCGTGCCAAGAAAACCCCATGATGGGTTTGCCGTAGGGTTGCCATAAGTTGGTAATGACTTGAAGGTACTCAATAACAACAACAAACAATACTGCAAATATTTAGATACAGAACACCTCTTGTTGTAGCTCACTATTTTTTTCCTGATATTTCCCTTTTCACTACAGGGTTTAGATGCATGGTCATCTTCATCTTATCTAAGGACTTATTAATGAGTTAAGATGTGTGTTTGTGTGTACATGCACCTAGTGTTTATTATCAGTATTATTTAGATATCTTCAAGATTTTTATTTATTTCAAGGGAAACTGAATTATGATTTGTTGCTCTTGGGTGTTCTTTGCCCTGAGGCGTAGTCCCAGCTGCATTGAGAGGAATTTCCACACCCTTGGGAGGTAAGTGATTATCAGTGCAAACCTACTTGTTATATCTAACTCAGAAATACCTAACTGAGTTCGATGGGATACACTGCTATATAAGTGTGTGTAATAGTGCCCTCTGAGTGGGGGCCACATCACACAGGAGAAAAATGATAAAAGAGTGAATAAAATTGCTGAAAGAAAAGAGAATATAGACAAAAGCTTAACAGTTCCCCAAATGCCCAATGCTAGATTTTTCTCCCACTGCAAGAATTGTACTTTAATTTTGCAATTAAGCATGGAAAGAGCAGAATAACATCAATTAGTGGGGATATTATTTGATTCTTCCTTATGAGGGTCCACAGTCATAACCTTCACATGGAAGATGAAGAAACTGAAACTGGAAACTAGAATATGGTTTGCCCAAATCAAGGCTAGAATTTTAACTACTGCAGGGACTGGGATTATCAAAATGTGGATGATAAGGAGGCAAAAGTAAAAGTGTGTGTGTTTTCCCTTTTTAACATATGGATGAGTAGTCCACTATGGATTAATCTGCTCTCTCTCACACACACACCACAAAATTTGTTAGCTACCTTTGGGAATTACTGGTTATTCTTCTTACTGTCATTTATACAGACACAGCGTATTTCCTTCTTCCACTGAACTAAGAAGGAAGAACTTACCAAAGCCATGCAACTGGCCCACCTGAACTTCCTTTTTTGCCTCCACTTTGACTTGCAAATTCCCAGCCTCTCTTTATTGCTCTCCTCCTGGCACACATGATCTTAATGCCAGAAAAATATTATGAGCCAATTGCAAGATTATTCTTTCTCTTCCTTCTTTCAAGAGTCCAAGGTTCCCATTCTCTTTCTTCAGAAACCAAATTGCAGTTCATGACGGTGACTGAGCCCAGCTTCAATGCAACTGAGTTGGGTTGTCTCAAAACCTTCTGAGGCCAAGGGATGGGGAAGGATCTTTCTTCCATCCTCTTCCTTTTCTTCATCTTCCATTGTATCACTTTCAGTTCTACAAAAGGTAAGAAGTGCTAAGATCTTCAGTAGTCTTCAAAGACCTTGCAAGGATTGCAGCAATGTCCATATTAGCTTTTGTCTCTTTTTTCAGGAATGTCAGCATTCAGCTTGCTATTAGAAGGATAAAGTTGTAGAAAAGCCAGGATGATCAAATAAAATAAATAAGATCTTTCCTTCTCGCCCATCCGGGTGTTTGGCCTTTACCAAAAAACCCATTTCAATCTTTCCCAGATTATACGGGATAGTTATAAAAGTGTGTACCTTTGTCTATGTGTAGGGTACTTTTTTCAGTACTAACATCCTCAGAATCAGTTGCCACATATCTGTTAATAGACAATAGTGCTTTCACTGTACATAAAGTACACCTTCTGAGGTGAGCTGGGTGGCTATCTGGGAATAAGGTGTTTTTTGGTGATGGCACCTCATATGTAGAAAATAGTGGAGGATGTTGTGTAATTCAATATGTATGAAATGTTAAAATTAAAATACTGCTTTGCTGTTCTGTATTTTGAGGAGGATAAACAAAATAGGCAAATACATACACATATACACAACTATGTACATGTGTATATGATGTGACCATGATCACCGAAGGAGTTGATAGATATGAACGAAATTTGGAAAGCAGAATTTGTAGCAGAATGGAAAACAGAAAGTGAGAGAAACTGAGATAATTTAAGTTTTCCGGCAACTAATACTCTGAATTACATGACATTAAATACACAAGATAGTTATTAGATCCCCAAATATTGGATAAATGTCAGTGGAAACACCCCACTGGAGTTTGTCAGAAAACTTCTATTTTGTACATTACATAACAAGAAATTTTTTAAAATTCTTTTTCGCAAGATTGCTGTGCATATACAATCCATATTGATACCTGTGTAAGGACGCCCAGATTGTTAAATAAATGTTTAAATAGATGTTTAATACAAATGCAGTGTTATATGTATTTCACACAAAGAATGAAAAAAGCAGTACGTGAGTCATTTTGTCATGGTGGCGTGGATATTTTCATCCAAGTGCTGTAGTATTGAATAATACTTCCTGGTTTTCAAGAAAAGCAAACTTCAACCACTATATTATTACCAATATTAAACTAATTAATAATTTATCATAGAAAGCCAGTGTGGCATAATGGTCTGAGTGTTCGATTATGACTCTGTAGACCAGGGTTCGATTCCCTACTTGGCCAGGAAACCCATTGGGTGACCATGGGCAAGTCACACATTCTCAGCCTCAGGGAAAGGCAATGGCGGACCTCCTTTGAACAAATCATGCCAAGAAAAGCCCATGATAGATTCACCTTAGGGTCACCATAAGCTGGAGATGACTTGAAGGTATACAACAACAACAATTGTAAACTGTGAATTTTGAGGGAGACTGTTTAAACTTTCAGCCTGAAGATCTTATTTTCCCCCCCGAAGCAAATGGAACATACGGTGACTAGTACAGATGATGCTGATGATTCATTTATATCCCACCTTTCTCTCAACAATGAGACTCAAGGCAACTAAAAATATTTTAAAACAATATAGATTAAAACTGTACAAAAGTGTCACTACAAGAATATATATAAATTTATTTTAAAAACAAACCATGGCTTTAATGTTTTAAACATTAAAAAAACTAAAAATTCATTATAAGATAACATATACCCCTTGAAAACAGCACTGAACAGCATTAAAAGCCCACTCCAGGCAATATGTGTGTCTGAAGCAATTTGCCACTACTACTGTCTATAGATGCCCACCCGCTATTTTGCTCTCAGATCTCCTTCAAACCAAGGTAGAAGATTTCAGGTTGTTTTTGCAGGGACCACATCACTGCCCTCTTTCTCATCCTGAAGGAGCCTTCAGGATGGAAGGAAAGATGGTCAGCTGTTTTGGGAAACCACTCCATCCCTTCTTGCCCACTACTATTTTTCCAATGCAGGGAGAGCGGGGCCAAGGTGGTTTCTTTGGAGTACCAACTATGGTGCCAATGGTCCGGTGGGGGGTGGAAGGCTATTCACCACCCTTTCTATGGCACAGCCTGAGATGGAGAATTACCCTTTCTCATGCGGAAGCCAACTCAAAGTGGCCGCAATTGCGGGACACTTCCTGAAGGTGGATATTTTCAAAGAAAGCAATGAGTAATTTATCTGTTAAAAACACCTTTGAAAACTGCATAGTTTTTAAAGAGCATTTGTAATTCAACAATGATTCAATACAAAATTCAATTTATTTATTTAGATTTATAATTTTTGTGGCAGAGAAAATAGCCCTTTCTGGACCGGAAATAGCTTTTTCTGCAAGAAAATCATATTTTTCTGAAGAGCCATTATTTTCTGCAAAGAAAATATCATTTCCTGTCTAGGAAACATTGTAGTTGGAGATCATATACAGGAGTAGCCGTGTTGGTCATATAGCAAAGTATAATAATGTGGCTATTTTCAATGGAAGCAAAAGGTGAAAAACACCTTTGAAAACTGCATCTTTTTAAAAGCGTTTGTAATTCAACATTTATTCAATGTATTTATTAATTTATGTTTATGTTTATATTTATATTTATATTTATATATCAAATCCATAAAACATTGATATTTTTATGGGGCAACCAAAATGCACAGAAATACATGTCACAAGCTTTCGGAGCGCCACTAGCTTCTTCTTCAACTAAAGGCATTAAGAATCATACAGGAGGGAGGGAAATATGACAATATTAGCCAAGATGTTGTTCTGAGTTAAGATAGCATAGAGGTAAATCTATGTAGGAAGGCCACTCCTCCTTCTAGCCATGTGGTACTGGGAGACAAATCTTTTTAAAGTCCAGGAAATAAAATTTAAATTCCATTAGCAACACAAAAAGGGACTTTCTTTTGAGATCCAGGATGTAGTTGAGGAGTTATTCTGCGCAAAATTTGCAAGTGATTTTGTTTTCACAAAATAAACAGCATTCATTTCTGAACACACACACATACACACACAGAGTGAATGTTTCTCAGAATAAGTCCTGAACATATAATAATAATAATAATAATAATAATAATAATAATAATAATAATACATTTATTTATATCCTGCCCCTCTGCCAAGCAATCAGGGCAGCTTACAGCATAAAAATACAACACAATAAGCTCAATTCCAAAACCCAGCCCCTCCCACCCCTTAAAAAAAATCATTAAACAACCACAGATTAAACCAATGTTTAAAATAGAGCAGCGTGCCGACTATCTGCAGAATAAACAGCAGCAACAACGGGTGTTGCGGTGAGTAATAGACGTACAGATGGGATGGCTCCTGGGACCGGGAAAACAAATCGGGAAAGGCTTGCTGGAAGAGATCCATCTTGACAGCCCTTTTAAAGCTGTCTAAGGTCGTAATATGACTGATCTCATCCAGCAGGCCATTCCATAGTCTGAGAGCAGTCATCGAGAAGGTGCTCTGGAAGGTTGCAGACAGTCTTTATTAAAATTTTCATCAGTCCTGGATTCTCCTCCTCAGGGTTTCCTGACACTCAAAAATTGTGTTTCTTGATCATGTTTGGAATATTTTTGAAAATTCTTTCCATTGCTAACCTTCAAGCAGCAAATGAGGTTGAGCAAATGAAAATGCACAGAGAGGAGAACATTGGTTTACTGTGGGGCTCAGCAGTTTGTGGCCCGACCTTTCAGAGAGTGATGCTTTACTTTTCTGTGCTCCTATAGACTTCGCCCTCTATATTGCTTGTAGTTAGGGTTGGCAGATCTCAAGGACCTGGCCCTGAGTCTCTAGTTTTTAGGAAACATCTCCAGACACGAGGAAACCTTCAGCTCATCTAGAAGAACATCAGATTGCCACAATTTCTAAGGTGTAATACATTTTTTGCTCCAACTTGCAAACATGGGCTGTGTATTTACTTAGCTATCTTCCTCCTTCCCTCCCAGTTATTCTAGCGCTAGAGCTCACCCTCTGCTCTGCTTGGCATCCGCTTTCTGGCTAGAAAAAATGTTGTTGTGTGCCTTCAGATCATTTCCGACTTATGGAAACCCTCACAGAGTGTTCTTGGCAAAATTTGTTCACACAGGGGTTGCTTTTTTCTTCCTCTGAGGCTGAGAAAGTGTGACTTTTCCAAGGTCACCAAGTAGGTTTCCATAACTGAGCAAGGATTTGAAATCCAACATAGACTAGATTAAGTTTCCCTTATTCCATTTTCCTAAATCAATGAGAAAGAACAAAATCCTTTCATTTCACCTGGATCTGGGAACAGCTAAGATTTCTATCTTAATTTCCAAACAAGAAAATATGGTCTGTGTGTGTGTGTGTGTGTGTGTGTTTCTTTGAATGACAAGTTGTGAACAACGGTGCTTAGTACTTAATGCACAACACTTAATGACATTGCCAGAGGCATTCCCTGGAGACCTCTGGGTCTGGGACAATCTGGAACTGGCAACCTTAGTTGAACAAATGGAGGGTTGGATGAGATGCGATTGGGCATTGCATGGAGGGGGCTCTTTTAGTGCTATAGGTGTATGAAAAGGTGGGCAAAAAGCATCATTTCAGAAGTTGCTGGATTGCAGTTCCCAGCATTCCTCACCATTGGCAATGCTGGTTTGGAGCAGATGGCAGATGCTTTTCAGCAGCATCTAGATGGCACAGATTTTGCCCACTCCATTTCATCTGGGGTTGTCTATTAAAAAGAGAAGACCAGATACTGCTCCATGGGATACCTCTTGGGCAGGCAAATGAAAATCTTGGATTTTAAGATATCCCTTAGTTGCTAAGCTCTAGAAAAGGAACTTTGTCGATGTTGTCCTTGCCTTTCTCACAGGTGGATTCAGAGATGAGACAAAGGACAAAATTTGGACTCACTATCTTAAAAAAGGAGAACTGTTACAACCATTGTTGGTGGAAAGAGGCGGAGATGGAAGGGGTCACATAGCTATAGATAACTCAAGATGGTCAAGAAATGACAAAAGGATTATGTCTACCACCAGCCCCATAGTGGAGGAAAGCAAAATCAGCACACATTTCACCACTCATTCAGGAGACACAAGTAGCTCACAATTAGAGACAAGCAGAACAATGAATGAAAGCACTATGAGCCCACCTTTAACATCATTTCCCTCAGGAGAAACAAGTAGCTCACCATTAGACAGTAGTACACCAATAGAATACAGCACTGTGAACCCACTTTTCACAACCACCCCTACAGGAGACACAAGTAGTTCACCATTAG